AACGACAGCATGTAGTGGAAATTCAAGTTAACATTGATCACTGTACGCGACAAAATGGTGAACAGCAGGAAGAAGAGGCCCTGGAAGAAAGAGAAAGGGAACGGCGTGTTTCCAGAAGACGATGATAGTCTGGTCAGAAGAGCGGATGATGAAGAGGAAAAAAGAGTTGATAAGAAAAGTATTGAATGAGATCAGAAAAAAAAACAGACAAGATCCCACCAAATCTGAGATACAATGGCAGAAGAAGGTAAAAGCAGCTACAATGAAGGTTAACAAGGTTATAGCTCGTATCAGAACTGAATCAATAAGATTACCAGCAACATTACCAGCTGCCCGTCGTCTTACGGGCAGCTGGTAATGTTGTTGCTGAGATGGTGGGGCATAAAATCAGGAATCCAAAGGAAAGCAGGACACCACATTGGAGGAGAAGAATTTTGGAAAAACAGAAGGCACTACGCAAGGATTTAGGGATTTAGATTTAGATTAAATAGAATGAATAGAAATGAGTTGCAAAATGAGGGTACCATATCAAAGTTCGAAAGAAAATATTGCAAAGTAGAAAAAGGTATTGATGTGGTTCATGAAGAAGTACAACAGAGGTTAGTTGCAACTGGAGCAAAGGTTGAAAGATATGACAATAGAACAGAGCAGTACAGACAGAATCGCTTGTTTGAATCAAATCAAAAGATATTGTTCGAGGAATTAGACGGAGTAGAAAGTGAAACGGTGGTGCCTGATGCAGAGGATAGTACTCGCTTTTGTAGTGACATATGGTACAAATCAGTGAAACATCAGGAAAATCCGGAATGGCTGAGAAATGTGGAGGAAGAGTTGACATGGCTCGGGGTACAAGATGACATACACATTGAAGTGACGAAATTGAAGAAGCAGGTGAAAAAAATGCCAAATTGGAAAATCCCAGAGCCTGATGGAGTTCAGGGGTATTGGATAAAGAATTAAAGTAATTTGCATAGTAGCATAGCACATCAACTTGACTTGTGTCTCCAAGAAAATAACGTGCCGTCATGTATGGTCACTGGGAAAACATTACTGTGTGTGAAAGAATTGGAGAAAGGAAACGCAGTAGCAAATCTTAGGCCCATCACATGTTTACCTCTGTTGTGGAAATTGCTGACAGGGATCTTAGCGGAAGAACTGTACGAACATCTGGAGCAAGCAAACATATTACCATGGGAACAAAAGGGATGCAGAAAAGGAAGCAGAGGGCAAAAAGACCAACTATTCATTGATAAAATGATAGTGAAAAAATGTAAGAAACGCTTAACATCACTGGCTGTTGCATGGATTGACTACCGCATGATGTGGTGCCCCAAAGTTGGATAGAGTAGTGTATGAATATGTTTGGGGTAGCAGTGAATGTCAGGTCCTTCACAAGCGAATCAATGAAACATTGGAACACAGAGCTGAATGCGGGCTAAAATAGACTTGGAAATGTGAAAATAAAGCGAGGATTTTTTCAAGGGGATAGCCTATCCCCACTCCTGTCCGTAATGACCATGATCCCATTGCTGAGGAAGACAAACATTTTATATGAAGTCAAGAAGAAAGGCGAGAGAAAGTGGATACAAATATCTTGGTATTTTGAAAGCGGATGGTATTAAACATGATGAGATGAAAGAACAATTGACGAAAGAACACATCAGAAGAGTCAGAAACGTACTGAAATCAAAGCTAAACTGGGGAAACATAATTTCAGCCATCAATTCAAGAGCGGGTTCAATCGTCAGATATGGGGCGAGGATCATAAAGTGGACAGAGAATGAATTGGTAGAATTGGACAGAAAAACAAGAAAACTGATGACAATGTATGGTGTACACCACTCCAAAGCAGATGTTGATAAACTATGTTTGAAAAGATGTGACGGTGGGAGAGGTTTACTAGGAGGTGAAGACTGTGTGCAGGCAGAAGTAAATAGTCTTGACAAGTACCTAGGTACATCAGAGGAAAAAATGTTGAAAGAAGTAAGCTTCTGTAGTACTCTTGAAAACAAAAAGTATGGGAGGAGGAAAGAGGATATACTGAAGAAACACCAAGAGGAATATGGAAGTAAATCACTGTATGCCAGTTTCAAAAAGTTATAGAAAGAGTAAAAGGCATAAAATCATGGGAATGGTTGAAAAATGGCTATTTGAAGAAAGAAACAAAGTACAATTATAGCAGCACAAGATCAGGCTCTTTGTACAAGGTATATGAGAAAAAAACGGTGTATGGAGAGAACGTTGATTCAACTTGTGGGGTATGTGGTTCTGCAGATGAGACATTTGGCGCATATTGTGTCAGAATGCCAAAAACTAGTACAGAAAGAATATAAACAGGTGAGACATGAAAATGTTACAAAAGTAATACACTGGAAACTTTGTGAGAAATGGGGATTTGGGAAGTCTGATCAGTGGTACACACACAAGCCTGAGAAAGTGCTGGAATCAGAAGACTGTGGGATTTCCCCATACAGACCGACAAGACACTGGAGCACTACAGACCTGATATCACTGTAATTGAGAAAACAAAACAAAACAAGAAATGCCTTCTCATCTACCCAGCATGCCCATTCGACACACGTATTGAGAAGAAAGAAGAAGAAAAGTGCAACAATTACTGCGACCTGAAATATGAAGTTGCAAGAATGTGGAGAATGAAAGATGTTGATGTTATTCCAGTGGTAATAGAGGCATTAGGGACAGTGATAAAGCTGTTCGAGAAATGAATACAGAAGCTGGATTTGGAAATTACAGT